GCACTCGCTCGCTTAAAGGTGCACACATCTATCCTCTTTCTTGCTGATTCTTTCTTACACAACGAGCCAATTGATTCCCCCAAGTCCCATTAGGTCTGGAGCCTATTTGTAAACATTAGACTTTATCCAAGAGCCAGARAACTGTCGGGGGTCCTGAACTTGTCAGTTCTGAATGAGAAATGGCAACAAATTTAGAAGCATATCCATTGAGTCAGGGGATTGGCAAACAGATCCAAATATCACCTTTAAAATTTAAATCCATACCTCAATAAACATATGAGATACAATCTGGGTAGAATAATAGCTTCTGAAAACTGACTGTAACTACCTAAAAAGCCACAAAGGTCCTATTGTTTGGACTTGCCACGGTCAGGTTTTTTTTATTTATTTTTTTGTTAAATTTTGATGATAATAATGTGGCTGGTAAAGCAGCTCCAGCTCACAATCATGGAGACAAAGCACACTCATCTCTCCCGTAGTTAATTGCTGTGCATGTTACTCCAAGTGAGGCAACCCTCCCTTTAAATTATCCCTCAGCCAATTTCCATCTTATCATGCCTATCTGTGTTTGGGCCCAGTATGTGAAATAGAGAGAAAATTACTCTCCATTTCTGCGGAAGGGAAGCGGTGGCTCGTCCCAGCCACCCCGACATTGAAATGCTCCGTCACTGTGTCAGAGGTGTCTGTGTGATATTGTGTCAATTCTGGCCAAGAAATGTGGGCGTTGTTCCATACGCTCACACCATTATTAAAACCAAACAACCATTAAAATTATACAAAAAAAATGCATGACACATGCAGAATGGGGCTGCAGCTTTCAAAAACCTTTTTCTGGGTTATGTAAATATTTCACCTAAAATAATTTGGTTCTATTAAGTTACTCATTGCAATCCATCCATCTTCTGACACCTTTCTGTAGTCAGGTTGCAGAGGCAATAGGTTTAGGAGAGAAATCTAGTCATTCCTCTTCACAGTGACACTTGCCAGCTCCAAAGAGGATACATAATCCCCTCCAACAAGTCCTGGGTTTTCCCTAGTTCTTCCAGTGGGACGTGCCTGGAACACCTCTAAAGGGAGGCATCCAGGAATCAGACAAATCACCTCAATTGACTCCCTTCGATACGAAGGAGCAGCGGCTCTACTCTGAGCTCCCCTCAAATGATGGAACACCTCACCGTCTCCAATGCTGAGCCTGGCTACCCTACAAAGGAAGCTCATTTCAGCCACTTGTATCCTTTCAGTCATGGTCCATGCCTCATGACCACAGGTGAGGGTTGGAACGTAGACAGACCAGTAGTAAATCAAGAGCTTTGCCTTTCGGCTCAGCTCTTTCCTCACCACAACTGACCAAAGCAACACTGAGGACAAGACCTCAGTCCATCAATCCATCTCTCACTCCATCCTACCATCACTCAGGAACAAGATGTTCCAGATACTTTAACTCCTCCACTTGAAGCAGAGACTCACCCTCGATCCAGAGGAGGCTTTCAACCCTTTCCCAGTCAAGAACCATGGACAACAAACCATTCAAACTCGCACTCAAAGACTATTTACCAAAAAACCTAAAGACCCTGTCAGACCATAATCATCTACGTTGTTGACCAAATGAACTTAGATTTTTAAAAAAAATTATTATTGTTATAATTAAGTTGGCATATGTTGTCTAAAATGCAGTGCAAAGAGAGAACATGTAAACTCCACCCAGAAAGATGCCAGAACTTTTCCAAACAAATCCCATTTCAAAATCTTGGAACTCAATAACAACTTTATTRTCATAATTCCAGTAATGTACTAATTTTAATACAAATCATGTGTTTCTGTTAAGTTRTTAAATTATATGAAATYAATTTTAGTGTTAGAAAGCAAAGTAACAGATGTTTACACATATTTATCAAAATCCTTTTTATGAATAATCCCATCTTTTATCAAACAGGAATTTGTAAAAGCACATCCTTTACAAATACACATCTGTGGTAAATAACTGATTTGTTAAAACYACGTCAGCGTTCGGTGCAGATGGTTTTGTGAAGAAGAGCTGTATTAATAAACTAGACAGAGAGAGGAACAGTCTCTGATAGGAAAATTATTTTAGCTGCGAGCAGCCTGTGTGTAGGAGGACCGCCTGGATTCCTAGGTTACCAGCAGTGAGTGACAAAGCCCGTCTTCTAAAACAGAACTAGAGTTCATGATCAGTCCACCGCCCTGAGCCTCCGATAAAATAATGTGTTGTAATGAGTATACCTGCCTGGAAGTGTTAAAAACGTCTGATACTCCAAAGTTGTAAAGTGGAAGTTTATTGACAGTTTTATTTGCACAAGAGCTGAACTCTGCATGTAAAGACGATTGAAACTTCGCATTACTTCAGAGAGATTTGGCCTTTTTCCATACTTATATACTGAGAAACATCATCAAAGTAAAAAAATAAATAAATAAAATCATTGTGGATCATAATGGCATGATTCCACAATCTAATAAAAAACACAAAGCAAAAAATGTATTGACTGCATGATTTGATGGACTTGTGACCCATCCAGGGTGTCCTCTGCCTCACAGGGACTGCTGGAGACAGACGCCAGCTCCCCGTGACACAGAAAGGAGGAGCAGGTACAGCAAATGAATGGATGATGCATGAAGGACGCAGCATTGCGTGCTCATGCTGCAGCTTTAAACCTTGACATGTGCCGTCAGAGCAGCTGGTTCCTTTAGGAAACTCCTCTGTGGCAGCAGAACTGTTGACTGACTGAAGTCATCCTCGGCATGCATGACGTGTGATACAGTTTTCATTCTCAGCTTTTCTGATGTAATTTATTCTATAGTTATTTCTCTCAAAGGGAAAGTAATGCAGCTGATTTCTTGTTCTGAAAGTTTATTTTTAAATATCAACACTGAGGAATTGTCCATCTAAAAGAGATTCTCTCTCTAGTAAACTTCTGCTAACTTAACAGTAGTTTGTGTCTTTTTTCAGGGGTGTATAAAGCACTTGAAAAAGTAACAGATACCTTAACCTGTTCACTTGCTCAGGCTGACAGGCATAAAATTACTTAAAATTAATTTCACAAGTCTRGTATCTATGTTAAGCTATTAATCTGAAATTTTAATTTCAGCAGTCATATTTTTGTAACAGTAACTAGTATTT